TGTGTGGCCATCTGAACCTTCTGTTGTGCAGATTTTAGGTAGATTGGTAGAGTTTCCTGTGTTCAGTTCATTCACTGAAGAGTTCTAACACTGGTACCCAAACAGTGACTCATAACAACTTTACAAGGAAGAAGACTGAGATCCAGGGATACATTTCTGCGCAGCACAGGAGAAATCTGAGTATGATGATCAAGGCCAGTGCTGGCTGCACCCTGGTGTGAGCCAGACCCAGAGGTAACAGGGACAGACGGTAATACCTAGTCAGATGTTTCTAACTGGAGTTTGCATCCGAGAAGAACTGAAGGGAATGACTTCTCCTCAGAAGAGACTTTTGGCATATGAGGCATGCCTGGTTCTGGGAACAAGCCGGGAGGCATGCATTATGGGAGGACAGGGCTTGTTCAAAGAACATTGTACCACATCCACATGACTAAGACACAGTGAGTAATGAATTCCGGTGCTCTGGCCCAGGAATTACTCAGCAGAGCCAGGTAACTGCTGTCTAGTATTTACAGCTAACTGGTTATCGTGAAGGAAATGGGCTTGGAACACACAGCCTGCAAGATAGCCCTTGGAGGAAGCAGCCCCTCCTGGGACAGAAGATTATACATGAAAAAGCTAGTGCCGGGCCCTGGAAGCTCAAGCCTGTTATCCTAGCTGCTTGGGAGGCTGAGATCTGAAGGTCGAGGTTCAAAGCCAGACATGACAGAAAATTCCGTGAAACTCCTATTTCTAATTAACCAGCCAAGAATCCAGGAGTGGAGTTGTGGCTCACGTGGTAGCTTTGAGTGAAAAGCTAAACAAGAGCACAAGGCTCTGAGTTCAAGTCCTAGTACTGCTAACCTAGGGGTGGGGGAGGGAACACAACTGTGGGTGGAAAGAGGGAGAAATGAGAGGGTTATTCATAATGCATATGTGTATGAAAATGGCATAATAAAACCCACCCAAGAATTGCTCAAATGGGGTTGCACAGAAGGGGGGAGCATGTGTAGATGGGAATGGCTCCTGGAGAGAGAAATATCGCAGTGAGCCCTGTCAACTGTTAAGGTGTGCTGATAATCGACATTTAAGGAAAGAGTGTCTCCCGCTCCTGACGCTGGGACCCCTTTGCTGCCTTCCGAGCGCCGTCAGGTGTTTCTGCTGAGTTCCTCAGGGTCTGATCACTTGGCCCTAGGTGACTGAGATACCCACAGAACCAGATGAGAACCAATTCTAGTCTGCGTGTTTTATATGTGTTGTTTTTTGCTTCCTAGTTGGCTCATCTAAAGATTCAAGGAAAGATGCCTTCTACCTACAAACAAAACCCAAAAGAAAGCCCCCAAGTCCCCCTTTTCCCATGTGAGATCAGAACCCAGGACCCCACAAACACTCAGCCTGCGCTCTGTCACGGAGCCACCTCCACCCAATCCTGGGCTTCAGGGACAGAGTCTCACTGTGTCACCTCAGGCTGACCTTGAACTCCCGACCGCTTTAACCTCCAGAGGGCTGGAATTACAGGTCTGCACTACCACACGCTTACCAGAATCAGATAGATTCTTAGAGACGTTTCCAAACCAGCCAGATTGAGCAAAATAAACCTGATGATCACTGAGCAAGTGAAATCTCAGCCCGATGGCGTCTCACGGGGTCACGTTTGCTCTGTGAGGCATCACAAGGCAGTGACTTCATCCAGCTCAATCCAGCGTGCAAATTCATTTATTCTCACTTCTTTCTCCAAGGCTTCACTTCGTGGAACAGTGTGTGTGTGTGTGAGTGTGTGTGTGTGTTGGTGTGGGTTTGTAGCTGGGGGGCTTTCAAGTCTGTGGCTGTAGGACAGGCTCAATGTCACTTCTGCAAAGGTATCAGAGGAAAAAGAAAAGATTATGTCTTCCCAGGAAGCACCCTGCCACGCCACCTACCTAGCTGGGCCACACGCTAATTTTAAGCCTCATTTTAATTAAAAAGAAAAAAGAAAAACACTTTGAATAGTGTTGCTCCTCTGGTTTAAATAGCCCCTCAACCTGGGATTTAACCATCTGATGTAACAAAGTGGGTGGACGTCAGTCCCCTGAGAGAGCAGAATAAACAGACTGACTGCTGTAATTAACATTTCCCATTTTCCTCCAAGTCTCTCAAGACACTGCTTGTGAGACTTGGAATCTCCAGAGCCCAAATCTGAGCCTGTAGTTTGGGAGAAAGCCTAGACAAAGGGTGGGGGGTGAGGCAGCTGAAGTTGCTTTGGTAGCAACTCAAGGTGCCTAGGATAAGAGTATCAACACAGTGCGGGGGAAGGTGATGTGCAATTCTGTGGTGGGATCCAGGTCTGTTGTGGGGCTTGAACTAGGCCTAGGTGCTGTCCCTGAGCTCTTGAGCTCAAGGCTAGTGCTCTACCACTTGAGCTACAGTCCCACTTCCGGTTTTTTAGTGGTTCATTGGAGATAAGAGTCTCACGGACATTCCTGTCCAGGCTGGCTTTGAACCTTGATCCTCAGATCTCAGCCTCTTGAGTAACTAGGATGACAGGCATGAGCCACCACCGGTGCTGGGCTGAAACATTGTCCTTTACAAGGCAAAGCCCAGATTTGGGGGTCCTGGAATATAAAGAACAAGAGCTAGGACTTTTAAAAGAAACATGGAAACATCTTTTTAGGGCTGGAGCCTCGCGGGGAAAAGGCCCTCCATGTGCACACTTCTCTTCCTTGGCCTCTTCCGGCACACACACACAGAGCCCAGCCTCTTTCCTCCTCCTTCCTGGGCCCTACAGCCTTCATGCCTTGCTTGAGCCTTTGCCAGAACCTTCCATTCACATTCGGGTCTGCGCACACACAGCAGACAAAGTAGGTCGTGTTCAAGACCCTCTGAGCTTGTCAGTCCTCAGCCTGTCAGGGTCCCCCGCATCTGACAGCCACCCCCACCCGTGCCCCTTGGACCAGTTTCCTCTGGAGTCTCCCTGAGCGCCTTCCCTGGGGCCCGTCAAACCCGCTCGGCCGCCTTTATTCTTCTTCCCCGTCCAGATGCTCACCTCCTTCGCTCCCGCCTGGAACGGCCCGGTGCTCCCTGCACTGCTGTCCTGCAGGCCTCGGGGTTGATGTCCTTCTTCCCCAGGGCAGGCTCTGGGCGGGGAGGCCGCGCATCCGAGCCTCTGCTGCGCCACCTCTGCCTCCAGGCCTGCAAGGAGAACCCACCGTCCTGGAGAAAGATGGAAGAACGGAAGGAGAAACGACCTCATCTCCCGACTGAGGCCACCCTGGCGTCACCGAGGGGAGAAATCTCCACTCCCGAGAGGAGTGGAGCCATGGCTGTGGGTGTCCTGCCTGTGAAGGGGGGAGGGGGGAGAAGAGGGAGGGAGGGGAGGGGAGGGAGGGGAAGGGGGAGGGGAGGGAGGGAGGGGAGGGAGGGAACATCTAGCGCTTACCTTCCTCAGAGGAGGAAAAACAGGATTAAGAGGGTTCAGACCTCCAGAGCCAGCTGCCAGCGCCGCCCAGCATCTTTCCCTCCGCGGGGTGCTCGGCGGCGTCACCCCTCTTCTTCCCTGGGCATATTTATGCCAGAAGAGCAAAAGAAAAGTTCTAGACGTTTCTGGCAAGAGCTCTCTGCCCAAGAGGGCCCAAGCCATACCTTTCTCGGCAGACTCCACAGGTGCCCAGGGCATCCTGCGGTGCGGGGCGGTGCTGAGTACCCCGCAGAGGGGGCGGGGCGATGCGGAGTACCCCGCAGAGGGGGCGGGGCGATGCTGAGTACTCCGCAGAGGGGGCGGGGCGATGCGGAGTACCCCGCAGAGGGGGCGGGGCGATGCTGAGTACCCCGCAGAGGGGGCGGGGCGGTGCTGAGTACCCCGCAGAAGGGGAGAGGTGCTGAGTACCCCGCAGAGGGGGCGGGGCGATGCTGAGTACCCCGCAGAGGGGGCGGGGCGATGCTGAGTACCCCGCAGAGGGGGCGGGGCGATGCTGAGTACCCCGCAGGGGGGCGGGGCCATGCTGAGTACCCCGCAGGGGGGGCGGGGCCATGCTGAGTACCCCGCAGGGCCACCTGCCGGCCACGCAGTTGCAGCACGCAGTCTTGCTTCGTGCCCCTGTCAATCAATAAAATGCCCGGGCGGGGCCCTCGCCCCAGGGCCACTTCTGGCCAGGGCTAGTAGCACCGAGCGGCTCTGCGCGGCCTTCCCGCCCCACGCCAGCCAGCCGGCTTGCTTCGTGCCTGGCGGGGTCCCAGGACTTGGGACACAACTTCCAAATTGCAAGCGGAGGGACCCCTGGGCACGGCCGCCCGCTCCCCGTTTGCGGGAAGAACACGGGTCTGCTTCCAGGCTGCGCGCATCCCCCCTTCCTCCCCCCCCCCCCCGCGTGGGTCCGTCCCGTGAGGGGGGGTCTGCCCCGGGGGAGGGGGTCCTTCCCGGCGTGGGGCCGCCCCGGGGGAAGGAGGTCCGCCCCGTGAGGGGGGGGTCCTTCCCGGCGTGGGGCCGCCCCGGGGGGGGGGGGTCCGTTCTGGGGGGGTCTGCCCCGGCGTGGGCCCGCCCCGGGGGGGGGTCTTCCGGCTCGGCGGCGTCTGGCAAAGTTCTCCGCCCATTCATTCGGCAACTATTTATTAGGGCGCGCGGCCCCCGCGGCGCCCCGGAGGCGGGGAGCGAACTCCCGCCGGGTCCCTCGCCCGCCCCGCGGCCCGGCACGCGGCGGGAGCGCGGCGCGCACTCGGGGCGCCCGCGGCGGGAAGCCCACCCCCCTCCACCTCCCCGGGGTTCCCGGCGATCGCGGGACGGAAGCGGCTCGGGCCGGCGCGGGCGGCGGGCGGCGGGCGGGCGGGCGGGAGAGGCCGGGGCGGCCGCGGCTCGGGGGCGGCCCGGCGCGCGGAGGGCGCGGCCAGCGGGAGGGGCCGGGGCGGCGCCGGGCAGGGCGCGCACGGCCGCGCGGCCCAGCAGGTGACCGCGGGCGGCGCGGGGCGGGCCGGGGCCGGGGCGGGAGCGGAGTCCCGGAGGGGCGGCGCGGCCGGGCGCGGAGACGGCCCGCGCGGACTCGGCGAAGTTTGGCGGAACATGGCGGCCGAGGCCGGGGCGCGCCGGAGCGCGCGGGGACGGCCGGAGCCCGGGGAGCTGTAGCGGCGCCGCCGCCGTCTCCGTGGGGACGAGGGGGCCGCCATGGCCCGCTGGATCCCGACCAAGAGGCAGAAGTACGGGGTTGGTGAGTGCTCGCCCCGCCCGCCCCGCCCGGAGCGCGGCGCCGCCAACTTCCCCGCCCGCGGCCCGGACGAGCTCGCGCGGAGCCGGCTGCCTGGGGTCGGCGCGGCCGGGACTCGGGGGGGGGGGGGGGACACGATCGGGGCTCCGCTCGGGCTGCTGCAGCCCAGGGGGTCCCCCGGGGGCCGGAGCTCCTTCCTGGGGCGCCGCGGGGTGCGGAGCGGGCGAGTCCTCGGCGTTGAGGATCCTGGCTGGCTTCAAGTGCAGCCCAGTCCCGAACCCCGACCTCCTGCGCTGCCCGGTGGGAACGTGGAGACCGAGGGGCGCGCCCGCCGCCCGCGCCGCGTCCGGGGTCCGGGGTGTCCGGCCGGCGGCGGCACGGTGCGGCGCGGGGGTCCTCCGCTCCTGGAGCCCCCCGTTTTCTGCCATTCGTAGGTTCTTCTCTGACGCCCCCTAAAAGGAGGAGCTGGGGGTGGAGAGCGGCTCCCCCTCTTCTCTGGGTGGGGTCGCCGGGAACTGGGGTGATCGGGAAGATGGGCGGGGTCCCCGGCTGCGGCCCCTTGCGCAGCGTGGACGGAGGGGCGAGGCCGCCCCCCGAGCCCCGAGTTTCCGCGGGGAGGGCGGGGTACCCCGAGGACGGCCCACCGACGACGGCCGCGACGGAGCGGGCGCTGGCGCGCGTGGCGTCCGGGACCGCGGCGGCCGAGGACGGCGGGTCCCGGGGTGGGCATCGGAAGCGGGGGTTGGGGGGGACCCGCGGCCTCCCCCCCCCGTCCCGCACCCAGGGGCGGGCGGACCTGGTGAGAGGCTCGGCCAGCCCCGGGTTCGTGTCGCTTTCCGCTCAGGTCCATTCTCTGGTGCTTACATTGAATCTTCTATTCACCTGCTCCCCCTCCCCCCCACCCCCGTCTCCTGGTTATAGGGGAGCAGGGCCCCCCAAAACTAGTATTCATTATGTTTGGCAGCTAAGCCGGTCACAGACACAGCATCTCTAGGTGTCTCTGTAGCATTATAAAAAATCCTCTTATCCTTATTACTCTCAGGTTGATCCAGACGTGTGTCCCCCTGCTCCAAACGCACGCTGCGGCTCCGAGGAACAGGTGGCATTGCTTTATCTCCGTCAGTCACCCTGGCGAGCCCCGCATCGGGGTGCGGGCACCTGGGTGGCCACACCGGGGAGCCGCTGGGGGGGATGGAGGAGATCGGAGTGTGTGGCCCCGTCCCGACTTCCACTTGAGTCAGACTTCAGTTCTAATTGTAAAACAGTTCATAGGTTCCTTATTTGTTTAGGTGGAAAGCTGTTCCCCAAAATATTATGTCTTGGGTGTGATGAGTGCTAAATAGATGCCCAGAGTGTTACCGGCCTAGGAACAGGTCTGTTTTCTTTTTAATAGCCCCCCTCCCCCCCCCCACGCCCCAGTCAGTTTAGTATTTCTTATCATTAGTCAAGAAAAAATAATTTCGATTGTAGGCGGCAGTGTTCCCGAGAGGGCCCTGGGGTGTAGCTCGCACCCAGCGGGGTCTGTGAGGAGCAGATCTGACTGGGGATCCATCCTGCCGACGGGAAGGTAGTAGAGCAAAATCTTCCACGTTTTTTCCTTTCCCTCCTGGCTCAGAAACCTTTCCAGGGCTCTATTTTGGGGTTCCTATCATGGGGCTCCCTTCCCCAACACTCTCCCTCAGCCCTTTATTCCTTAACTGGCCTATGCAGACAGATGGACGTCTTTCTGTGCCGGTTACTTACCACTGACAGTCCCTCTTTGGGGACTTTCTCCTCCTGCTGCTTTCAAATTTGCTTTTTTAAATGCTGGTACTGGAGCTTGAACTCAGGGCCTGGGTACCTTGCTTTTTTTTTTTTTTTTTTAATTGCTTAACGCTGGTGCTCTACCACTTGAGCCACAGCTCCACTTCCAGCTTTTGGGTGGTTGATTGCAAAGTGTCCTCCTCAGATTTTAGCCTCCTGAGTAACTAAAATAACCAGCGTGAGTTACCAGTGCCTGGCTCAGATTTACTTTTCAAGCCTTCCCGCTGCTTCCTCTCCATGTCTGCCCTGTGCCACATCGGGTTGTGTGGTTGGGTGGCTCAGCCTTATCAGTGAGTGTGGCTGATGACTCAAGGCTGTGGGCCCTCACACAGGTGTGTCAAGTCAGGCCTGGAGTTCCTCCACTTGCTGGCTTTCCACAGCCACAGTTACCAGCCCACTCATGGCTTTCATATCGTCTTTGTTAGCATATATTGTTACTGTTCTTCTATTTTATTACTACCTATTACTAATACATTGCGCCTAATGTATAAATTAAAAACACCGCAGGACACAACATAGTAGATGCAGAGTTTGCTGCTAGGTTTCAGGCATGCACTAAGGGTCTCGAACAATATATCCCCTGGAGGGAAGGGGGTGTGTGTGTGTGTGTGTGTGTGTGTGTGTGTGTGTGTGTGTGTGTGTGTGTGTGTGTGTGTGTGTGTGTGTGTGTGTGTGTGTGTGTGTACACGTACAGTATTAGGTCATTCACTTCTGCTTACCCTTGATCTTGGGGTGCTGTTCTAAAGGAGACTAAGCTGAGGTGTCAGGGAACCTCGTACAGTTTTCTTCCCGTTAAGGCTGCAGCCTCTCTGTCAGCCACTGTGAGTTGTGTTTCGTTTGGATAGATGGAAGGAAGTGGGAGCAAACACTTTAGCTCTGCAAGTGACAAACAAGGCAGCAGGGCCAGGGATGCTGTGGGGACGTGGGGGCTGGCGTGGGCTTGTGGACTGCCTTGGGATGTTACTCCTGCTGTGTCTGCTAGCTGAAGACCGTCTGGCCAAGGAGGCTCTAGGGCGGCCACCTGGAGGCGTTGTGATGCGTGCCAGCTGCCCCTGCCCTTGGCGGGCATGGCAGGGACAGCGGGGCACGGCTGCCTCCCGCAGGCCTCCCTATGGGCATGCGCTCGCTCACCAGCCCAGCTAGCTGTCTCTACCGCCTCCTTTTTCTTTTTCTTTTGTCAGTCATGGGGCTTGAACTCAGGACCTGGGCACCGTCCCTGAGCTCTTTTTACTCAAGGCTAGCACTGTATCCTGGGTGCTGGTGGCTACCATCTCTTATTTCTTGGTGTCCCTCTTGGCTTTTTCTGACATCACCTAGATTGCTCTAAGGGGAAGGAAGTACAGTCTGCCGGGGAGGCCGCCGTCTTTGAACACAGTACAGTTTGCTTATTTGTACCTACACGGATGGGCTTGAGTCTTTGAGGCGGAGTACTTCATGCCCTGCAAGCCAGTGTGCAGAACTGAGTGCTGGTCTTGGGAGCAGAGGTTTTCCCTTTGGAGCCAAGGGAACTTCTCTTCATTCTTCATCTTGCGTTCTTCCCTTCCCCTCCTACTTTTTCCTCTCTCTCCTTCCTGTTTGAGGATGTGAAGGTATAAGACACTTTTATCTGGATCTTAAGTATAATATTAGTGATAAATGTTCAACTCACTGTGTGCATTTTTGAGGTGTTTTTTAAGTCTGCTTCCACAAAAGCCATTTCTCATGTGCCTGTACTGGGGCTTGATCTCAGGGCCTTGTGTTCCCACTTGGCTTTTTCCTACTGCTTGAGCCACAGCTCCTCTTACAGCTTTTTGCTAGTTATTTGGAAATAAGACTCACAAACTTTTCTCCCCAAGCTGGCTTCCAACCACAATCCTCAGGTCTCAACCTCCTGAGTAAAGTAGCGAGGATTACAGACGTGAGCCATGGCGCCATTAATATCAACAACAGCTGCAGGTTGTGTTGGCTACAGCTTCTTTGCAGAGCAATTAAGCGTTGCCTGTTGGGATTTCGCGTGTTGGTTTCTAGGAGGCAGATTGGGAGTATTTGCTTTCACTGTTAGCTCTTTCTGTGGCTTCCCCGTTAGTCCAAAGCACTCGGTGTTGTATGCAGATTTACGTCGAACTCAGACGTGTATGTGGGGCCCGCTACACCTGGAGTGTGACTGCAGGGATGGAGGGGTAACATGTCCAGTTTGCTGTTAGAGAGGGCAACTTGATGCTCAGAGAGGGAAAGTAGATGGCTCACCTGGGGCTCCGCCCTTCTGAGTCGTAGGACCCCCTTTGCCAGCAGACCCCTTCTTCCAGAATCTTCTAAATCCAGCAGGTAAAGCACAAGGACTGCAAATGAGGCTTGTATTGGAAATTCTGTTAACTTTTGACACGGCAGCATGTGTGCTTCTTTATTAATGCATCAAGTAGCAAGATCTGATGACAGGTAGCAGCTACCAGAATTCTGAATGAATGGTGACCACGATGGCTGGATTTCAGGAGCTATTAGTTCAGCTGTGGCTTTTTGCCTGCCTGTGTACATAAAATAGAGACCCAGGCAGACACGCCCACAGCTAAGTAGCTACAGACCCTGGAAGCAGCAGCACAGAATTGACACCCATCCCTCCCTTCCCATACCATTGTATTCACCTGAAGAAGGCCCAGGGAGATGCCCTCAGGGTCTTCCAGCAAGGAAGCTAAGGACAGGGACCCAGACAGAGAAAGAGAACTACTGCTTATTCATTAGGAACCTAACCTTGTGAGGTTCTGTTCCCCACTGTTACAGATGTGCACTATTCCAAACCTCTTATTTCACTAAGTCCCCAGTGGCAGAGATTTCAGAAGGCTCTGAGATGAAGAGGCTCCCCCTCCCACCCCCAGGTAATCCTGAGATGTGACTGGCCTGTGTTCATCCTCACTCTGGTAAGTCTGTGTAGGGTTTCTAGGTCAGGTGTGAATAGCAGCAGGTAGGGACAGACAGCTGTGGGCAAAGGCAGGTCTGAGAATCTAGCTGCCTTCCCTCAAGTCCACGATGTTAAAGAGATGCACAGACAGGGGGCTGGGAAGGTGGCTCAGTGGTAGAGCGCATGCCTTGAATGCAGGAGGCCCTGGGTTCGATTCCTCAGCACCACATAAGCAAAAGAAAAAAGCCGGAAGTGGTGCTGTGGCTCAAGTGGTAGAGCGCTAGCCTTGAGCTGAAGAGCTGAGGGACAGCGCCCAGGCCCAGAGTTC